GGGTCTCCGTCGCGGCGCCCGACCTCGCGACCGAATCGCTCGAGCACCTCGTTCGGGTCCGTGCCGGCGCGGTTCAGGCGATGCCAGAGGGAATGGACGGCGTAGCCGGCGTGGTGCGCGACGATCAGGGGCGCGAAGCACATCTTGCAGTGGTCTTCGAGGAACTTGCGCCAGAGCGCGTGGCGGTGGCCCTCGCGCCAACCTCGCAAAGCACCTTGGTCGAGCTTCGGGCCCGTGGCGGCCGCGGCCGCGACGAGGCGATCGACGGCCCGCGTCGACGGTTCCCCGGCGCGCTCGCGGCGGCGCCGCGCGCGCGCGTCCTCGATCTCGTCGGCGTCGCCGGCGGGCGGGTCCTCGAGGACGAACGGCAGCACGCCGCGGAGGACGATCACCTCGGGGCCCCGCCTCTGAGTCCGCGAGAGCCGGTGGCAGCGCAGAACCTCGCGCACGACGAGCCGCACGGACCCCGGCAGCAGGCGGCCGTAGTCGCGAAGGTGCTCGCCGTTGCCGTGGCGGGCGTACAGGCACGCCGACGGACCGATGCGCGCTGCATCACCGTCGCCATCGTCGCCGCCGAGCCTGTAAGGATAGGAGAAATCGACCTTGTCGAGCTCATGCCGCCCGATCCGTTGCCCCACCTGCATGTTATCGTCGAGCGGGTGAGACAGCATTCCTTCCAATAGTTCCATTCCTTCCAATAGTTCAAACGCTGCGCAAGCGTTCAAACACCGGGCACATGCTCTAGGACACAGGACAAAGATGACCTCAAGGTGCTGTTTTGGTTTTATATCATTGCCAACGCGACGCTCTCCGGCCTGCGAGCACCTGGGGTGCGCCCCGGCCGGCGGATGAGCGCGGGCGAGCCGCGTCAGTTCGGCGTCAAGGTCAAGGACGACTACTACGTCTGCCACATCGGCGACTCCGAGGCGCGGTCCTTCAACGTCTCCACCGATCAGCTGCAGTCGCACCGCGTGAAGCCCGGCAGCCCCTACGCGGAGAAGGTCGGCGCCGTCATGGGCGGCCTCGAGGGCACGAGCCCGCCGGCGGGCGACGTCGACGACTCGGCGCTCATCGCCGTGCCCGACGACGCCGCGGCCGCGGAGGAGCCCGTCGAGGAGATCGCGGACGCCGTCGGCCGGCCGCAGCGCTACGACAGCGTCATGTACATCCCGACGGACGACCTCGAGATCGAGCGGCAGAGCATCCGCCAGGCGACGGCGCAGGCCCCGCCGAAACCGGCGGCGGAGCGGGCCCCGCCGCCGCCCGCCGCCTCCCACGAGGAGCGCAAGGACCTCGTCCCCGTGCCGGGCCACGCGCCGCCGGGCTACCACGAGCAGCGCGGCGGCATGATGCCCGAGCACCACGCGGCGCCGAGCCACCAGCACCACGCGCCGGTCATGGGCCACGCGCCCGCCGGAGCCGGCCATCGCTCTGATTTGCTCTATTTGCCGGGCCAGGCGCCGCCGGGCTACCACGAGCAGCGCGGCGGCATCATGCCAGAGCATCACCAGCCGCCGAGCCACCAGCACCACGCGCCGGTCATGGGCCACGCACCGCCTGCGGCCGGCCATCGCGCCGACATCGCGATGGTGCCGGGCCAGGCGCCGCCGGGCTATCACGAGCAGCGCGGCGGCATCATGCCCGAGTACCATCCGCCGCCCGCGGGCTACCACGAGCAGCGCGGCGGCATCATGCCGGAGCATCACCAGCCGCCGAGCCATCAGCACCACGCGCCGGTCATGGGCCACGCGCCGCCCGCGGCCGGCCATCGCGCCGACATCGCGATGGTGCCGGGCCAGGCGCCGCCGGGCTACCACGAGCAGCGCGGCGGCATGATGCCCGAGCACCACGCGGCGCCGAGCCACCAGCACCACGCGCCGGTCATGGGCCACGCGCCCGCCGGAGCCGGCCATCGCTCTGATTTGCTCTATTTGCCAGGCCACGCGCCGCCGGGCTACCACGAGCAGCGCGGCGGCATCATGCCCGAGCATCACCAGCCGCCGAGCCACCAGCACCACGCGCCGGTCATGGGCCACGCGCCGCCCGCGGCCGGCCATCGCGCCGACATTGCGCCGGTCCACGGCCAGGCGCCGCCGGGCTACCACGAGCAGCGAGGTCGCATCATGCCCGAGTACCATCCGCCGCCCGCGGGCTACCACGAGCAGCGCGGCGGCATCATGCCGGAGCATCACCAGCCGCCGAGCCATCAGCACCACGCGCCGGTCATGGGCCACGCGCCGCCCGCGGCCGGCCATCGCGCCGACATCGCGATGGTGCCGGGCCAGGCGCCGCCGGGCTACCACGAGCAGCGCGGCGGCATCATGCCCGAATATCACCAGCCGCCGAGCCACCAGCACCACGCGCCGGTCGTGGGCCACGCGCCTCCGGCGGCGGGGCATCGCCCGGACATTCCGATCATTCCGGGCCACGCGCCGCCGGGCTACCACGAGCAGCGCGCCGGCATCCTGCCCGAGTACCACGCGCCGCCCGCCGGCTATCACGAGCAACGGGGCGGCATCATGCCGGAGTATCATGGGCCGCCGCCGAGTTATCACGAGCAGCGCGGAGACATCGTGCCAGTCCATCACGCGCCGCCCGCCGGCTACCACGAACAGCGTGGGGGAATCATGCCTGAGTATCAGCAGCCGCCCGCGGGCTACCACGAGCAGCGCGCCGGTATCATGCCTGAGCACCACGCGGCGCCGAGTCATCAGCATCACGCGCCGGTCATGGGCCACGCGCCCCCCGGAGCCGGCCATCGCGCCAATACGCCGATCATACATCAGCAGCCGCCCGCGGGCTACCACGAACAGCGCAGTGGAATGATGCCCGAGTACCACCAGCCGCCGAGCCATCAGCATCACGCGCCGGTGATGGGCCACGCGCCGCCCGGCGCCGGCCATCGCGCGGATCTGCCGATCGTCCCGGGCCAGGCGCCGCCGGACTACCACGAGCAGCGCAGTGGAATGATGCCCGAGCACCACCAGCCGCCGAGCCATCAGCATCACGCGCCGGTGATGGGCCACGCGCCGCCCGGCGCCGGCCATCGCGCGGATCTGCCGATCGTCCCGGGCCAGGCGCCGCCGGACTACCACGAGCAGCGCGCCGGCATGATGCCCGAGCACCACGCGGCGCCGAGCCAAGCGCACCACGCGCCGGTGATGGGCCACGCGCCGCCCGGCGCCGGCCATCGCGCGGATCTGCCGATCGTCCCGGGCCAGGCGCCGCCGGACTACCACGAGCAGCGCGCCGGCATGATGCCCGAGCACCACGCGGCGCCGAGCCACGCGCACCACGCGCCGGTCATGGGCCACGCGCCGCCCGGCGCGGGCCACCGGCCGAATCTCCCGACCGTCGACCAGAAGCCGCCGCCCGGCTCCCACGAGCAGCGCGCGGACCTGGTCCCGGAGCAGCGGCCCCGCGGGGACGCCGTCGAGCCCAAGCACGACCACCACGCGCCGGTCATGAACCCGTCGCCGCCCATCGACGGCCTCTCGGCCGCGGACGCGTACGCCGTCGGCCGCGCGAACAACTTCGACGCGAAGCGCGGCGACGCGCTCACCTTCGAGAACGACGACTTCAAGGTCAAGAAGCCCGCGCTGTCGAAGAAGACGCCGAAGAAGACGCCGAAGAAGAAGGCCAAGGCCGCCAAGGTCGCGCCGCAGCCGGCGGAGCCCGAGCCGACGGCCGAGGAGATGCGCCTCGAAGCCAAGCGCGCCCTGGCCGAGAGCAAGCGGCCGGCGCCGGCGCCCGCCGCGGCGCCCGTCGTCATCGACCTCGAGGCCGAGGCCACGCCGACGGCGAGCCCGCGGCCCATGTCGGCCGCGTCGCCGGGCTGGAACCCGCGGAGCGCGATGAAGCCGTCGGAGCTGCCCCTCTTCGACGAGATCGAGGAGTCCTGGCTCGGCGTGAGCTTCTCCGAGGACCAGGAGCTCGACGACGTCGGCAGCCCGCGGAAGCCCGGCGCGCGCGGCGGCGGCGCCGCCGGCGCCGCGCCCGAGACCGCGCCCGACTACGACGGCCACAAGGTGACGACGTGGATCTGCGAGCAGCACGGCCTGCGCCTCGACCCGACGCCGCCGCCGACGCCGGGCGACACGGGCCGGCGCGGCGCGCCGGACCCGGCGCCGCCCTGGCCCAACACGTCCGCCGTCGAGACCGCGCGCCTCTGCGCGACGCTGTCCGAGTCGCTCTTCCCGCCGGCCGCGACGACGTCCTACGCGCTCTTCAGCGCGTCGGCGCCCCTCGTCGAGGAGCGCGAGGCGTCGCCGCGGTCCGTGACCGTCCCGCCGGAGCCCGAGCCCGAGCCCGAGCCCGAGCCCGAGCCCGAGCCCGCGCCGAGCCCGCTCGGCTCCGTCGCGTCGTCCTGCTTCGACGACGCGCTGGAGAAGGCCAAGACCGCGCGCGCCGTGAGCCGCCGCGCGAGCCCGGGCGAGCCCAAGAAGCGGCCGCCCAAGTCGAGCCCGGGCAAGGCGCGCTTCAAGCTCCTGCCCGCCGTCGCGGGCGCCGGCGACGGCGCCGCGCCCGCGCGGCCCTGGTCGAGCGTCGGCCTGCGGCCCACGTCGCCCGCGTCGCCGAAGCTGCCCATCGTGCCGCTCGTCATGTCGCCCGACTCGACGTCCCAGGCGCTGGGGTCCTTCGACGACATGTGCAACGCGCTCACGCCCAAATCCCCGCCGCTCCCGAAGCTCGCGTCGCCGCCGGGAAGCGCCGCGCGCGCCGCGCTCGACGCGTTCTAGGCGCGCGCGGCCCGCGGGGGCGGCGCGACCGCGACCCCCTTCTTCCCGAAACCCCGCCCCCCCTCCCCGCGAGTAGCTGCGCCCGTCGATATCTGGGAGGTGTCCGCCGAAGGAGCACTGCAAGCCGACGGCATCAGCACATGCCTCGCCAACAAAGCGTTGCGGCAGCTCAGCCGATTCGACACCGCCAACCGCAGCGGCCTGCCGTCGCGTCCGCGAGCGGCCACCGCAGCGGCAGTCGCATCCGCGGACATGGCCGCCATGGAGACGACGGAGGCGCCGCAGGTCATCGAGCACCAGCACCAGTCGCTCAACTTCACGCCGTACGAGACCAAGTGGGTGCCCTGCAGCGCGCGCTTCGTGTGCTGCGGCATCAGCCCCAAGGCCAAGGGCGTGCTCCAGATCTACGAGCTCAAGGGCGGGAAGATGGAGGTCGTCGCGGAGAAGACGCACGACTGCGGCCTCAAGTGCGGGACGTTCGGCGCGTCGTCGCTCGGCGAGCGGTCGTTGGCGACGGGCGACTACAAGGGCGGCCTGCACGTCTTCGACCTCGAGCGGCTGGACGCGCCGACCTTCTCCGTGCCGGGTGCCCACAAGGCGATCATCAACGGCATCGACGGCGTCGGCGGCCTGGGCATCGGCGGCGGCGCGCCGGAGCTCGTCACGGGGTCGCGCGACGGCTGCGTCCGCGTCTGGGACCCGCGCGTCCGGGAGCCCGTCGTCTCGCTGGAGCCCGTCGAGGGCCAGCCCGTGCGCGACTGCTGGTGCGCGGCCTTTGGGAACTCCGTCGGCGACGAGCGCGTCGTCGCCGCGGGCTACGACAACGGCGACGTCAAGCTCTTCGACCTCCGGACCAACGCCATGCGCTGGGAGACGAACGCGTCCAACGGCGTCACCTGCGTCGAGTTCGACCGCAAGGACATCGAGATGAACAAGCTTGTAGTGACGACCCTCGAGTCGCGGTTCCGCGTCTTCGACCTCCGGACGCAGCACGCGGACGACGGCTTCGCGCACTGCACGGAGAAGGCCCACAAGGCCACGGTCTGGCTCGCGCGCCACCTGCCCCAGAACCGCGACGTCTTCATGACCGGCGGCGGCAACGGCGGCTTCAACCTCTACGCCTACCACTACCCGAAGAAGCGGACGGCGACGCACAAGGACAACGCGCCCGTCGGCGTTCCGGGCACGGTCGAGCTCCTCAACTCGCGCGTCATCTCGACGCAGCCCATCGTCTCCTTCGACTGGTCCCCGGACAAGGAGGGCCTCGCCGTGCTCTCCTGCCTCGACCAGACGCTCCGCGTCTACATCTGCACGAAGCTCGACCGGTACTGAGGCCCCGCCGCCGGGGAGCCGCGCCCGGCCATTTTCTAACGGACGTCGGGGTTTTCTTGTTCTTCGCGAGATTTGGGGCCTTTCGGAGGCCTTTCGTCCTCTCGGCGCCTGCCCAAGTGCCTGCCCAGGCCTAGGCAAGTGCCTAGGCAGGTTGAAGACATAGTTGAAGACGTGCTTGAAGACGCCGAACGCGGTCACGATGTGGCAGCCCGCGTGATCCTCGGCATGGGGAGCGCGCCGAGCACGCGCTGCAGCGAGTGCCGCCTGCTGGCGACGGGCCGCATCCACAACATCGCCATCGCGCGCGACGGCACGCGCATCGTCTCCGGCGGCGAGGGCTGCGAGTCGCGCGTCTGGGACGGCACGGGGACGGTGACGACGGTCATCGGCGACAGCGTCAAGAGCTGCGCCTTCAGCCGCGACGGCGCGCGGCTGCTCACGGGCGGCTGGGACAACTGCGCGCGGCTCTGGGACGCGGCGTCCGGCGCGCTCGAGCGCACGTTCGAGGGCCACGGCGGCGCGGTCTACGGCTGCGCGTTCGCGGACGGCGGCGACGGCCGCCTCGTCACGGGGTCGCGGGACCGCACGGCGCGCGTCTGGGACTCGGCCTCGGGCGCCGTGCTCGCGACGCACGGCGGCCACGGCGAGAGCGTCACCTGCTGCGCGCTCAGCGACGCGCGCGGCGCGTCGGGCTCCTGGGACCGGGGCGTCCGCGTCTGGAGCGCGGCCACGGGCGAGCTCCACGTCGTCCTCGAGGGCCACGGCGGCGGTCGGCGTGCCCGCGTCCCCGCGCGCCTCCGCCCGGAAACGACGGACGTCCCTAGGCATCTACAGCGTCGCGTTCAGCCCCGACGGCTCGCGCCTCGTCTCCGGCTCGGAGGACGCGACGGCGCGGTGCTACGACGTCTGGACGGGCGCGCCCCTCTTCGTCCTGGCCCACGACCGGACCGTGCGGTGCTGCGCGTTCAGCGACGACGGCGCGTGGATCGTGTCCGCGTCCTACGACGCGACGGCGCGCATCTACAACGGCGCCACGGGCGAGGAGGAGACGAAGCTCCGGGGTCACGCGGAGAAGGTGCTGTGCTGCACGTTCTCCCGCGACGGCGAGACGGTCTTCACGGGCTCCCGCGACGGCACGGTGCGCACGTGGGACGTCGGCCACATCACGAAGTACTAACGATCGCGTTACGGAACGGGGTGTGTGTGCACAGAGGGGGGGAGTCGGGGCGGCCGCTCACGCGTCCTCCCAGTCCACGCGGAGGCCCGCGACCATGAAGTACCGGTGTATTCGCTGGGAGATCTCCTGCTTGACGGAGTTGAGGCTCGCGCTCTTGCCCTCGAGCTTGAGGATGATCGTCGGCTGGGCGCCGCCGACGCCGGAGAGGGACACGAGGTCCACGGTGCCGCCCGCGACGCTCAGGAACGGCCGCACGCCCTCGAGCACCTCGTCGACGGACGCCTCGTCCATGTCCGGCGTGTCCGGCAGGTACTGGACCACGTCGGAGATCTCGGGGATCGCCTCCTTCAGGCGCCGCTCGAGGCCCATCTTCATCGTCATCGTCGACGACGGGCACGTGCCGCACGCGCCCTCGAGCTCGAGCTTGACGACCGGGCCCTCGATGCCCGCGATGCGCACGTTGCCCCCGTCGGACATGAGGTAGGGCCGCAGCTCGTCCAAAATCAGCTCCACGTTCTCCCAGGTCAGCGGGAACTGCTCGTCGGGCGACAGCACGCGCTCGCCCTCGAAGGGCGACGCCACGGTCTCCGTCATGGACAACGACGTCGTTCGTCGGAGCGGGGCCGCCCCCGGCCGCCGCGCGGGGCCCGATCGGAACGCATAGGACGCGCCGAGGCAGAGGACGAAGGTCTGGGTCCGCATCGCGTCTCGTTGGCGCCGCGGCGTCGAGATGTCGGGGCGAGTTGCGCTGGCGCCACCAGGTCGTCGATAGATGGCGGACAGCATCACGACGGCAATTTTGGCCATTCGTCGACGACCGCGCGCGCCGGCGCGCGTCGCGCGGACCTGTGCCCGCACGAGCCGGGGTGCCGCCGCCGGACGAAGCAACCGTGCGTACCTCCCCACGCGCCGCACGGAGCGCCGGGGCTGCCCCGGCGACGGCGCGCGGTCCGAAGCCGGCGCGTCGGCGCGCCGCGGCTCGGCGACTACAAGATGGAACTTGACTTGGATCGCGCTTACGGCCGCGCGCGCGCGGGCGCCTCCCCGGCTCACATGCCCGTGCCGAAGACGGCGTTGTGGCGGGCGATGCGGGGCCCCTCCTCGTCGTACTGGGCCTTGGTGTGGCAGACGCGGAAGAACTCGCCGGTCGACGCGAGCATCGAGCCGCCGAACCAGACCGCGAAGCGCTGCATCTGGTGCGAGATGACGTTGACGTCGATCTTCTGGGGCGCCGACGTCGAGCCGAGGGCCCCGAGGCGCTGGATGTTGAGGTCGAGGCGCTTGTCGACGTGCTTCTTGATGTCGCGCTGGAGCCGGCGGCCGAAATCCTTGAACATCGTCGAGCCGCCGGAGAGCACGATGTTCTTGTAGAGGCCGCGGCGCGTGTCGATGGGGCACTTGATGATGGCCTCGTCGACGACGTCGGGGAGGGGCGTGATGAAGTCCGAGGAGAAGATCTCCGGGTTGAAGAAGATCTCGGGGCCGAGGAAGCGCTCGTAGCCGACGTCGCAGGACCACTTGGCGCCCGTCTGCTTCTTCGCGCCCTCGTAGGTGCGGAAGTACTTGGCCGGGTCCGCGTCGTACTTGGCGAACTCCTTGGCCAGGTCCGGGCAGACGTAGGAGTGCATCTCCTTGACGCGCTTCGCGACCTCGAGGGAGTCCTCGGACGGGATGGGCTCGGACCGCTCGCGGAGGAGCTTGTGGACGAAGGCCGTGATGTCGCGGCCCGCCAGGGGGATGTGCTTGATGCAGGACCCGATGACGTAGCCCTCGGCGACGGGGATGACGTGCGTGACGCCGTCGCCGCTGTCGATGACGGTGCCCGTGAGCGTCCGCTCCTTGACGTTCTTCTTCGTCCAGCTCGCGGCGAGGGCGAGCACGGCCTGGACGGCGATGTAGAGGCCCGGCACGTTGAAGGTCTCGAACATGATCTCCGCCGTGAGCTCGCGGTTCTCGGGCGTGTTCAGCGGCGGCTCCGTGAGCAGCACGTGGTGCTCCTCGGGCTCGCATCTCAGGTACTTGAACATGCACCGCTGCCAGAGCCGCTCCATGTTGTCCCAGTTCTCGACCATGCCGTGGCGGATCGGGTAGTTGATCTGGTGCGTCGTGCTGTGCGCGAGGGCCTCGTTGCCGATGTAGAAGTCGAGGTCGTCGACGCCGTCGATCGTCGCCTCCTGGCCGCCCTTGAGGGCGCGGCTCGCCACGACCGTCGGCACGATGTACTGCGGCTCGCAGTTGCCCGCGTCTGCGTCGCGGGGTTGGGAGTTTCTATCGTATCGAGCGCGCGACGAGGGCGGCGCGCGCGCGTCGCGAAAAATGCAGCGCGCGTGTGGGAGGGAGGTCGCGGGCGGCGCGCGCGCGTGTCGAGGGCGCCGGCGACGCACAGCCCATCTTCGTGTAGCCCGTACCATTGTCGATGACCACGGAGGGCTTCTGCATGGTTCCGGGCCCCTCGAGGGCGGTCGCGCGCGGTCGCGGAAAGCGACGGCGGCGGCGACGGGCGGCGGTCGGCAACCTCCTAAGGTTGTGGAGGCGGTGTCGGGCCCGGGGGCGGCGCGGCGGCGTCCGGCTCGGCCTCGCGGCGCCTCCACAGCCACAACTCGAGCCTGGCTTGCCTCGAGGTCGAGACCCCGCGAGCCACACCGCGCGCGACGTCCGCGCGCGCCGCCGACCACCACCACCGAGCGCGACCACCCATCGGCGCGCGGCGCGAGAGGCCGTATCGGAGCGCCGCGCCGCCGCGCCGCGAAACCCGCGCGATGACGATCAGGTTCATCCTCATGGTGAACAAGCAGGGCCAGACGCGGCTGAGCACCTACTACGAGTGGCTGCCCATGCCCGAGCGCGTGGCCCTCGAGAGCGAGATCATCCGCAAGTGCCTGAGCCGGAGCGAGTTCCAGTGCAGCTTCGTCGAGTACCGGGGCTACAAAGTCGTCTACCGCCGCTACGCGAGCCTCTTTTTCATCGTCGGCTGCGAGCAGGACAGCGAGAACGAGCTCGGCATCCTCGAGTTCATCCACGCCCTCGTCGAGACCCTCGACAAGTACTTCGAGTCCGTCTGCGAGCTCGACATCATGTTCAACCTCGAGAAGGCGCACTTCATCCTCGACGAGATGGTCATGAACGGCTGCATCGTCGAGACGAACAAGGCCAACGTGCTGAAGCCCATCGCCCTCATGGAGAAGGCCTCCGAGGAGACGCTCTTCTCGAAGCGATAGAGGGCCGCGCGGCGCGCGGGGACCGCGGCGCGTAACGGGAACCCCGCGCGCGCTCTCTCTCTCTCTCTCTCCGACTCGGCCAGGGAGGCGAGCGCGTCTCTCTCGAGTTGGTCCGCGGCGGGAACGATCGGGGCACGCGTGCGTCCCGGTCCTCGGATGCGTGGCGCCGAGGAGAGGTGCGCCGGTCGCGACCGGCGCGCCGCACTTCGCGAGTGTGCTTGTGGCATTGATCTGTGCTGCTCCTCCAGCGGCGCGCGCGGCCCAGCATACGTCGAACGTCGCGCCGTCGCGGCAAGCCGAACAGACGACGATGGACGTCTTCGCGTCAAAATGCGTCCAGTGCGCGCTGTTCAACGTCCTGGGCACGATCATCGCGACGAAGCTCTCCGGCCGCAAGCTGCGAGTGGTCCCGCTCGTCCACGCGCTGACCTGGGGCGTGCTGCGCGGCATCTTGAACGTGTGCTGGTACCAGCAGCTGGCGGTCTACGTGCCCGGCCGCAGCCCGAGGGACGTCCTCGTCAAGGTCTCGCTCGACCAACTGGTGTACACGCCGGTCGGCAGCGTCGCGCCGCGGCTCGTCGTCATGGCGGTGCTCGAGGGCCGCGGCGTCGTTGCTGGTGTCGCGGACGTACGTTTGAAGCTCTGGAGCCAGCTCCTCGTGGGCTGGAAGCTCTGGCCCTTTGTGCACGCGGCGAACTTCTTCCTCGTGCCCGACGACTGGCAGCTCCTCGCCATCTGGACGACGAGCCTCGTCTATATCACGGTCATCGAGCTCCTGTCCTTCAACGCCCCGGCGGCGAAGACGGCGGGCGGCGCGGCCAAGGCCAAGCGGACTCCGAAGCCGCCCGCGTCGCCGCCGCGGCGGAACCCGCCGCGCAAGGCGAAGAGCAAGGGCAAAGCCGAGTAGTGTCCAGGGTTACTTTTGCGGTCTTAGAGTGCTGGCCCGGGCGCGCTGGTTCATATCTTGTCACATTTCTCGAAGTTGAAGTGATGATGAAGTCCACAATGAAGCTTGCCAGTGTGGCAATTCTTCCGAGCCACACGCTATGAGGGCGCGTACTCTGCTCTGCGCCGCTCTCTGCCTCGGCAGCGCGTACGCCCGCGACGACGACGAGTCGGCGGAGGCGCAGAGCTACAAAGAGTTCTGGAAGCTCATGAACATGACCATGGAGGAGATCTGGGGCCAGTTCGGCAAGCGCGAGCCGCGCTTCGCGCCGCCGCCGCGCCAGGACAAGATCGACCACTTCGTCGTGCTCTACATGGAGAACCACGCGGCGGACCACTACTTTGGCTGCATGGGGCTCGAGGGCTTCGACGGCGCGGCGCGGCGTCCCGCGGCGCGCGCGATCGCCGGAAGGAACCCCGCGCGCTCCCAGGCATCAACGGGAGCCACGCGTTCCCGCTGGACCCGGCGAACGCGTCCAAGGGCACGGTCAACGTGTCCTGCGGCGCGCCGCCCTACATCTGCACGGGGTCGCCGGGCTACGCGACGTTCGACGGCAAGTTCGGCCCCGGCGGCGACCCGCACGCGTACCCCTACAGTCCCCAGAGCGACGCCAACTCGGGCCTGCACGGCGCGACGACGGGCGGCGTCGCGACGACGCTCTTCTCGCCGGAGCAGATCCCCGTGAAGCGCGCGGTCGCCGCGGAGTTCGGCGTCTTCAACAAGCTCTACACCGCCGTGCCGTCCGCGAGCTCGCCGAACCACCTCTTCACGCAGTCCGGCACGTCCTGCGGCATGACGACGAACACGCTCTACGACTCCTGCGGCGGCAACACGTCCTGGTTCCCCCAGGACACGATCTACGACCGCCTCCGGGACCACAACATCTCCTTCGGCCTCTTTATCAACTCGACGTGCGGCCTCAACGGCCAGGACCCGTGCCACGGCGAGAACCAGGACGACCCGGACTCCGCGAGCGCCATCTCGACGCCGGACGTCGCCATGGAGGGCGTCGCGCGCCACAAGGACATGTTCTTCTCCCAGGAGCTTTTTTATGGTCACGCGAAAAACGGCACGCTCCCCGGCTTCTCCTGGCTCCACCCGCCCATCGAGGCCTGCGACCACCCCTGCAACGACATCGCCAAGGGCGAGCGGCTCCTCAAGGACATCTACGAGGCGCTGCGCGCCGGGCCGGGCTGGAACAGGACGCTCTTCTTCATCGTCTACGACGACGCGGGCGGCTACTACGACCACGTCGTGCCGCCCTTCGAGGGCGTCGCGGCCGACGAGGCGCCGTGCATCGTGCCGGGCACCCACGCGTCCTGCGGCCCGGCCTTCGACTTCAAGCGCCTCGGCCTCCGGTCGTCGGCGATGCTCATCTCGCCGCTCGTGCCCAAGGGCGCGGTCTTCCAGGAGCCGCAGCAGGGGCCCTTCGCGACGTCCCAGTTCGACCTCACGTCCATCCTGGCGACGACGAAGAACCTGTTCAATCTCTCGTCGTTCCTCACGAAGCGCGACGCGTGGGCCGGGTCGTTCACGGAGCTCCTCCTCGACGAGCCGCGGACCGACGCGCCGCTGCACCTCCCGGCGCCGCCGATGAACGTGACGCCCTGGGAGGACGTCGGCGGCGCGGAGGACGGCGCCGCGCGCCACTGCTCGTCGCCGCACGGCGCGCCCGAGGAGGCGTGCCGCGCGCCGACGGACGTCAGCCGCAAGCAGGCGGGCCAGCTCAAGCTCCTCGCCAAGCTCACGGCGTCGGAGCCGCCGGAGGCCCCGGACTTCGCGGAGGCCGCCGCGTGGATCCAGGACAAGTGGGCCGAGTGGATGGCGGCCTAGATCTAGGCGCCGCGCCCCGGCGCCGCGCCTCAGGCGCCGCGCCTCAGGCGCCGCCCAGTTACTTGCCCGGTTTTCTCCCCTCGCGTCGCGGCTCGGTGGTCACACTTATGAAAATGGCCCGGCGGCGCGTACGTCGCCGCCCTGCTGGTTCTTTTTGTTTTTGTCGTCGGGTGGGGTCCGCGGCTTCGGCGTTCCCGGGGGGGCTCACTTGTTCGGGTGGATCGCGTGCTCGACGCGGTTCGCGGCCATGATGGCCTTGATGCCGCCCTTGAGCTTTCGCCGCGCGTTCCACTTCTTGAGGTTCTCGATGGTCGTCTTGAGGTCCGTCGTGGACAGCTCCGCGGCGTGCTTGGTGAACCAGTCGTGGTTCATCGCGGCGGTCGCGGAGGGCCGCTTCGAGGGGTCGACCTGGAGGAGGCTCTTGATGAAGGACTTGGCCTCGGGGCTCACGGACCCCCAGTAGCGGTCGTCGAAGCTGTACTTGCCCGCCTTGATCGTCGCGTACATGGCCGCGACGCCGTCGGAGTCGTCGAAGGGCGGGTAGCCGCCGAGGAGGATGAAGACGATGACGCCGCAGGACCACATGTCCACCTCGAGGCCGTAGGGCTTCTCCTTGATGATCTCCGGCGCGACGTAGGCCGGCGTGCCGCAGAGCTCGCGCATGGGCTTCTTCGCCTCCGTCGCGAACCCAAAGTCCGCGAGCTTGATGTCGTGGTCGTTGTGCGCGGACTTCAACAGCAAATTCTCGGGCTTGAGGTCGCGGTGGGCGATGCGCTTGCCGTGGATGTGGTGGAGCACGTCGAGCAGCACCCAGACGAGGTCCCGCGCCTCCTTCTCGCTGTAGTAGACGCGCTGCACGATGCGGTCGAAGAGCTCGCCGCCCGCGACGACCTCGAGCACGATGTAGTAGTGGCTCCGGTCCTGCGTGAAGTCGAAGTACTTGACGACGTGCGGGTGCTGCAGCTTGCTGATGATGCCCACCTACAGGCGCGGGGGTGAAGGCGGCGCGCGCGGCGGCGGCGCGCGCGGCGGGGCGCGCCTCGACGTGCAGCGCGTCGATGTCCTGCTTCTTGAGCTTGTTCTTGTGCACGACCTTGACGGCGAACTTGTCCTTGTTCGTCCGGTTGATCGCGAGCCGCACCGTCGAGAACCTGGCGCGGGCGCGCGTCGGCGCGCGCGGGAGAGCGGGGGCGTTTCCGCGGCGCCGGCGGCGCGCGCGCCGTGGCCGAGCTCCTTGTCGAGCTGGAGGTCCTCGAAGCGCGTGTAGCGGTGCGAGTCGGCGTAGGGCCCCGCGTCGCCGTCGAAGCACAGGAGGCACGAACTGAATTCGCCCCCCATCTTGTGTGCAAGCGCGACGCCACCAACCAGAGGCACACTTTTCACAGGCTCGACGATCCGCTCCTCAACGTCGTCCGCAATGTTTTCGATGCACTGAGTTTTCCCATGAAAACGCTACGGTGCTTTTTCCAAGCGTCACAAATTGTCATCCACCGAGGACGTCTGGTCACGGCTGGATTTTAAACTGTCGCGTCGTCGCCGCGCGCCGCGCAGCACGCCAGCGGAAACCGTCGGTGCCTCGACGACGTCCGGCACGCGCTGAACGAGAGGCAGCCCAGGGTTTTGGAACTGCGCGGGCAGCCTCGGTCCGGCGCGACGCGGGCAGCCATGGCCATCTCCGCCCTGCAAAACTGGGCGCGGCGAAAAAGCTGCTCGCCGACGGCGAGCTCGACGCAGGAGGCGCTCCTGGAGCGCACGCCGAGCATCATCGACCTCGAGATCGAGCGCGGCACGCTCTCGCGGAGCCGGTCGGGAAGCCGGGAGTTCCTCTCCAAGGCCGCGGCGCCCGACGAGGACGCGATGAGCCAGGGCACGGCGCTCCAGTTCGTCTTCTTGGGCTTCGTGTCTCTGAGCCTCCTCGTCGCGCTGCGCCTGCTGAGACGAGAGCCGGCCGCGGAGGCCGCGTCCCTCGCGCTCCGGCAGACGCTCGCCACGACGAACGCGACGATCACGACGAACACGCTCGCCACGATCAGCGACCTCGTCCTCGCGGGCGTGTAATGGAGGTCTTCTTTTAGTGCGCGGGCGTGCTGCATTGGGGCAGGGGCCGGTGTGCGGTCGGGCCGGCGCGAGCCGGCGCCGCGGCGAGAAGCGCCGGCGGCGCCTGCTTAGCCTGCGAGCGCTCGAGCAAGAGCAAGCACTCCTCGTCGCGCGAAGGCAAAGGGCAAGCGCGCGACGCGTGTGGGCCTTCGACGCGCCGGCGCGCCGCGGCGCACCGATGCAGCGCACGGCGCCGCCGTGCGGCGCGGCGGCCGTCGCGCTCCGCGCCCCCATGGCGCTGTGCGTGCTCTTCGCGCTGCTCGGCGGCGCGGGCCGCGCGCCGCCGCCCGGCGCGCCCGCGGCCGACGCGCGACGCGCGACTCCAGCGCGCGCCGGCGCGCCGCTCCGCGTCGACCTCGAGCGGCGGCCGCGGGCGGCGCGGCGGCGCGCGACGGGCGACAACGACCTCGTGCTCACGGACTACTTCAACAACCAGTACGTCGGGCAGATCAGCATCGGCACGCCGGCCCAGCAGCTCAGCGTCGTCTTCGACACGGGCAGCAGCGACCTGTGGATCCCCGGCCGCGGCTGCAACGAGTGCGGCCACCACGCGACGTTCGACTACACGGCGTCGTCGACGTACGAGCCGCTGCTGGACAAGAACGGCGACCTGAGCAAGTTCGAGGTCGACTACGGGAGCGGCAAGGTCACGGGCTACCAGGCCAAGGACAGCGTGCACCTCGGGTCCCTGGAGCTCGACGACGTCGCCTTTGGGGAGGTCGTCTACGAGGACCGCGACATCCAGTCGTTCATGATGGACGGCATCGCGGGGCTGGCGTTTCGCGGGCTCTCCATGGTGACGAAGCCGACGCTGCTCGAGCTGCTGCACGAGCAGCACCCGGACGTGCCCTACCTGTTTAGCCTGTACCTGAGCAACGACCCCGACGACGCGGATCGCCCGTCGCACCTCACGTTCGGCGACTACGACCTGGGCATCGTCGGCGACAACGCGACGTGGCACTACACGCCCGTCATCAAGCGGGGCTTCGGCGACTTCAAGTACTGGACCGTGAAGATGACGGGCATGGCCGTCGTGAGCACCGACGACGCGTCGGAGCTCGACCTCTGCCCCTCGGGCTGCTACGCGATCGTCGACAGCGGCACGTCGGGCATCGCCGTGCCCGAGGAGTCCTACGACGCTCTGGTCGCCGCCGTCACGAAGGGGCTCAACTGCCGCGACATCACCTGCTACTACGCGAAGTCCGCGGACTTTCCCGCGCTGACGTTCAAGCTGAGCCCGGACAACGAGTTCCCCATGCACGCGGCGGACTACGTGTCCTGCAGCCGCTGGGGCGAGTGCGTCATCAAGTTCCAGAAGTCGTCGGGGTCGTCCTACTGGATTTTAGGCGACGTGTTCATGGAGGCGTACTACACGCTCTACGACGTCGACAATTTACGGGTGGGCTTCGCGTGCGCGGGCGACTGCAACGGCGGCACCTGGCACGGCAAGGGCGGCTACGTCGAGGTCGACGAGGTCTCGACCTGGGCCCAGCTGCTATTGTGCTTCGCGGCGCTGTCCGTCGTGTCCATCCTCGCGTACGTCGCGTTCTTGTACGCGCGGCTGACCTGCGGCGGCCGCGTCGCGCGCGCGTGCCTCCGGACGAAGGACGAGTACCGGCGGGAACGCGGGCTGCGGACCGCGTAAGGGCCCAGTTTTCGATTATGGCACGGGCAGCTGCAGCCCCCCATGCTCTCCTTCAACGGTTCTTCAACGACCGAGCTTGCCTTTCGAATTCAACAATAGCTCGCTAAAACCGTGCCACAGCTGCCCCTTTACATTTCGACGTCGACGCCGAGGAGCATCCCCAGGAACCCGCTGACGAACGCGTTTGCGACGGCTATGGCCACGGAGAGGAAGAGGCCGTAGACGATGGCGAGGGCTTGTGCTTTGGTGTCGACGATGGCCTGGATGCGCTCGCGCTCCTGGCTCAGTTCGACTCGGAGGCGGATCTTGAAGTACTCGGGCGTTCGGAGGCGCCTGCCGACGTGGTCCTTGAGCCTGACCAGGAGGCCGCGCGGCGCGACGCCGCGAATCTTGTACATGGCGCGCGACATGCCCAGCGCGCGGCGCGGGCCTCGACTCCCCTCGCAGGAGCCGTCGGACGTGTCAAGGGCTGCCCTCCTTCAACGACCGAGCTTTCCTTTCTCAACTCATCACTCGCTAAACCTCTGCCACACGCGCAGCTCCGCGACCTCATAGACGGCGTGGACGCTCGCGTAGACGGCTGCGGGCAGCGAGCTATGGCATTGCTCCGCACCGCCGTGCTCGTGCGCTGCGCGCGCGCATTCGTGCAGTCGTCCGGGCGCCGCTCGTACACGCCGAGCGCCATGACCACCGTCGGCGTCGCGGAGCTGGCGGAGCGCGCGAAACTGGCGGTGCTGGACCCGCAGCGCAACGCAGTGAAAGAGCGCCTCCCGGCGCCGCAGCTCGGCATCTTCAACGACATCCCGCGGCAGCAGTTCCGCGAGTCGGACGCGCGCGCGCTCGCGCTCGCCGGCTTCTCCTTCGTCGTCAACGACGCGGAGCACGGCGGGCCGGACTGCGTCTACGGCCGCGAGGAGAACGCGATGCTCGCGCGCCTCGGCCTGACGCCGCTGCAGCGCCTGCCGCGCGAGGCGCTCTCCGCGCACGGCGACGCGCTCTGCTGCGGCGCGCGGGGCACGATGCGGCCCTACGGGACGACGTTGGCCGAAGCGACGGACTACCTCGAGACCGTCGCGTTCCCGGCGGCGCCGCGACGAATTTCGAGACCGGAAATATCGTTACGGACGCACTTGGTAGGTTCCCGGCCGTCGGCTCCGCGGGCCGGCGGTCCCTGGCCCGCGGCGCGTTCCCCGTGCGCAAGGGCGACGGGTCCCTGACGTTCACGGAGGACTCGCTGCGCGACGCGGAGCTCGGCAAAACGCTGCCGCTGCTCCAGTTCGAGACCGAGGAGTACCTCCTCGACGCGGCCCTTCGAGGCGAGGTGCTCGCGGCGCTCGCGCAAGCGGACGCGGGCGCCTTCGTCGGCGCCTTCGACGCGGGCATGCGCGCGCGGGACCCGTCGCTGATCCCGGCCGGCGTCGAGGCGCTCTGCGGCGAGGCCGAGGCGCTCGGCGTCGTCACGGGGGGCGTCGTCGGCGGCCCCACGCCGGAGGACGCCGAGGCGAACATCCTCACGCACCTGCGCTGGGGCATGCGCCTCGTCGCGACGCCGGTGCTCCTCTCCGACGTCGCGCTCCACGGCGCTCTCGCCGTCGCCGCGCCCTTCCGCGCGGCCGTCGCGCGGCTTTAATAGGGGGGGCACTTCCTACGGCGCGACTTTAAGGGGGCCACTTCGCGCCGCACTCTTCCGGGGGCGGCGACGGCGCCGGCGACGGGGGCGGCGTCACCGGGGGCGGCGTCGGCCGCCGCTCGCGCGCGCGCAGGTCGGCCTCGGCCTTGCGCCACGCGGCGCGCTGCGCGCGGATCTTCGCCCGCCGCAGCTCCTCGTCGAGCCGGCGGCCGCGCGCGCAGGCGCACGGCGCGACGAGCGGCGCGGCGCAGTCCGCCGCGGTGAAGGGCGCCCAGGTCGTCGCGTTGCGCCGCCGCGCGGCGTACGCCGTGCACTCGAAGCCCGGCGCGCGGATGACGGGGCTCGCCTCGGCCGCGGCGGGCGCGACGTCGAGCTCGTCGTCGCCGACGCGCCTGAGCAGGCGGAACATGTCGGGCGGGTGCAGCGCGTTGTGGAAGAAGAGGAAGCGCGACAGCGCCGCGCGCACGGGCTCCGTGTCGTTGCCGTCGAGCGCGCCCCGCACCGCGGCCTCGGAGAGGTTGTGCTCCTCCCGGAAGATGTCGCCGGCGTCGAAGAGGACGCGGCCGCGGTGGGCCCACGGCGCGAGCAGCACCGTCGGGATCGCGTGCATCCAGTAGAAGAAGCCGATGCCCTCGTCGTGGCCGTCGAAGCCGAGCGCGTCGCACTGCGCGGACGCGCCCCGTTTGTAGATGCCGTCCTCCATCGCGAGGAGCGCCGCGCGCGAGAGGCCCGAGACGACCTGCCAGGGCTTGTTCGCGACGAACTGCCGCGCGGGGCCGGCGCAGGGCCGCGCGTAGCCCGCGATGGCCGTCGGCGACGCCGCGACGTTGAGCGGCTTCGCGGCATCGTAGGCCGCCAAAACTCCCAGGAGCGCGACGCTCCGCGCGTAGACGTCGTCGTCGGAGAAGACCCACCACTTCACGCGCCGGAACGTCGTCTCCGCGCGGTCGAGGAAGAACTGCATGGCCGCGTTCGCGCGGCAGCAGGGGCCGCCGGCCCCCCGGTGCGTCGGGTTGCGGCAGTAGCCCGCGACGAGCACCGGCCGCACGCGCGCGTCGCCGCAGCGCCGCACGAGCCAGGACCCGGCGCGCCCGTCGACGACGGCGCAGTCGCGGCCCATGCGCCCGTGCCGCTCGCGCGCCATGGCCCGCGTGACCTCGTGCCTGTAGTCGCCCTCGGGCTTGCCCGTGGCGTTCGCGAAGACCGCGTAGACGTGCGGAAAGGACCGGCCCCACGCGTTGATCATGGGCAGCACGCGCTCGCAGTAGAGGGCCGCGTTCGTCATGAGGAACCAGGCGACCTCGTCGGAGTGCAGGCCGTTCTGCGTCGGTGGCATGAAAAATTCGTCGGTTTTGCAGAGGACGTTTGCGTGCTTCGACACGTTGCCGTGGTGCCAATGCGCCGACGCGAAGGCGGCGAGGAGCAGCCTCGGCAGCCGCATGTCAAGCCGTTGGGCGGCGTCCAGCGCCGATGCCACGCGTCAAGCTGTTGGGCTGCGTCCAGCACCGATGCTCATGTCAGCGGTGCGCTGGGCTGCGCGATCGATGTCCATGCTCGATTAAGCGCTCACCGATGCTCATGTCAGCGGTGCGCTGGGCTGCGCGATCGATGCCCATGCTTGATTAAGCGCTCAACCTGCCGTAAATACGTGTATGTTGTACGTCAACGTTCACGTTTTTCCGAGCATATCGGGCAACGATTGGTGGCCTCGACAGAGCGCGGAGCGAGAACAGCACACACCATGGTCACCCTCGCGGCCGTCGAGGGCGGCGGTACGACCTTCGTGTGCGCCATCGCCAAAGACACGGCCTCGAACATCGTTGACCGCGTCATCTTCCCGACGACGACGCCCGAGGAGACGCTGGGCAAGTGCCGCGAGTGGCTCCTCGCTCGGTCCTTCGACGCGCTGGGCATCGCGACCTTCGGCCCGGTGGATCCGACGCCGGGGTCCAAGACCTACGGCCACATCACGGCGACGCCGAAGAAGGCCTGGCGCCACAGCGACGTCGTCGGCGCGCTGACCGAGGGTCTGAACGTGCCGTTCGGCTTCGACACGGACGTCAACGCGCCGGCGCTCGCGGAGTACCGCGCGTCCGTGAGGGACGGCGAGGCCCTGAGCTCCGTCGCCTACGCCACGGTGGGCACGGGCATCGGCGTCGGCCTGGTCGTGAACGGCGGCTGCGTCCACGGCCTGCTCCACCCCGAGGCGGGCCACATCTGCGTGCCCAGGCTCGCGGGCGACGCCTACGAGGGCCACAACCCGTCCCTCGACTGCGCGAACTGGTGCGAGGTCGAGGCCATGGCCGCGTCGGGCGCGCTCGCCGCGCGCGCGGGCCTGAAGGACTCGGCGGGCCTCAAGGACCTGCCCGACGACGACGGGGTCTGGGACGCCGCGGCCCACTACCTCGCGGCCATGTGCGCGAACCTCGTGCTCACCGTGTCGCCCCAGCGCATCGTGCTGAGCGGCGGCGTCATGCTCCGCGCGTCGCTGTTCCCGAAGATCCGCGCCAAGATGGTCAAGATGCTCAACGGCTACATCCCGCCCCTCGACGCGCAGGCCGCGTGCTCCGTCGTCGTCAAGTCGCGCTGGGGCAACAACGCCGGCATCGTCGGCGCCCTCACGCTCGCCGAGGACGCGCTCGGCGCCGCGCCCGCGCCCAAGGCGGACCTGCTCCTCCCGCTCCTCGCCTGCGCCGCCGGCGCGGCCCTCGCCGCGCTCCTCCGACGGTAGGCGCCGGCGGTCCCGCGCCTCTATATCTCCTCGGCGCTATTGCGCGGCTCCGGTGAGCGTTCACGAGGCGGACCCCCGGCCGGCGTCGTAGCAGCCCCATTCCACCAACCACCAGAATAATGCGATGATCGCAGGGCTGGGGAGGTGAGAAGTTCCGCGGCGAGAGGCGCGATGGTCTACTCGAACGGCGGCGCGCGGGTCGTGGAGCGCCCGCCGTCGTCGCCGACGGCCAACGCCGACGGCTCGAAGCGGAGTTCGTGGATCGACCGCCAGCTCAGCGGCCCCACGGTCCGGCGCTACGGCTGGCTCATGCTCGTCGGCCTGTTGCTGGGCCTCGTGGTGGTGACGACGGCCCTCACGCAGCGGCGGTCGAGCGGCCCCGGCGCCATGCACGCCCACGGGACCTGGTGCGACGACGACGACGAGGCGCGGCGCGGCCACGCGCCGCCGTTGAAGTGCACGAGCTACGACCTCACGATGCGCGCGGAGCCCCTCGGCGACGACGGCGCCGCGAGCCTCGCCGCGGCGCTCGCGGGGAGCCGCTACGGCAAGCCGGAGCGGCGGCGGCTCCGGCGCCTCATCCTCCAGCACCAGGACATCTCGAGCCACGGCGCGCGGCGTTTAGCGCAGCTCATCAACGCGTGCGCGGACGGCGACGCGGCGGGCTGCGCGCTGGACCCGACGAAGCGCTTCGAGCTCGACGTGCGCGCGAACCCCATCGGCCAGCGCGGCGTCGAGCAGCTGCGGTCGGCCGTGGAGCGCGCGCGGTCGCGCGGCTTCCGCGTCGTCGTCTTCGCGGGCGGCAAGATCGAGGAGTCGTTCCTCAAGAAGGGGCCCCTGCTCAAGCTCGGCGCCCTCGAGTTCCAGCTCGGCCGCAAGGTCGAGCAGAAGCAGTACTACGACTTCGAGTTCCGCCTGCCGCCGACGTGGCAGGAGCGCGTGCTGCCGCGCGACGTGTCGACGACGCTCCGGATCCGCGTCGTCATCGCCGTCGTCGCCTTCCTCTGCGGCATCCTCTCGACGAAGCTCCACCTGCCCGTCAAGGTCGTCTGGAACGAGGAGGCCGTCGTCGAGGCCGTGAAGACGACGCGCCGCTTCACGCAGTTCATCGGCGACACGTTCCGCCCGGGTCAGTTCAAGGAGTCGCTCCGGTCCGCGAGCCCCGTCGCCGGCGTCCAGACGGCGACGCTCCACCAGGCCCTCACGTCCATCCGCGACGACGAGGACGACGACGACGACGACGACGGCGAGTCCGTGACCTTCGACAAGCTGCCGACCCTCATGCGCACCATGTCCGAGCGGAGCGACCGGGACCGGTCCGACGACGACGACGACGAGCCGCGCCGCGTCCGCAACAGCGCCACCAAGGTCTTCAAGCCCACGACGACCCGCTTCGCGTGAGGCCGGCGAACGATGTTTAAGACGAGGCGGGGAAGAGGCGATCCCGCTCTTTCTTTTGCCCGTTGGCCCTCCGCGCATCCCGCTTCGCTTGGACCGACAGGCGCGGCGGCGTGGGCTTGCCGTCGGGGAGCGCCGCGACGAGCGCGTCGGCCCAGTCGCCGCCGTTGTCGCGGAGCCGCATGAGGCAGTGGAGGACGACGTCGATGTTGAGGACGACCTTGCGCGCGCCGCCGCGGTGCGCGAGCGCGCCCTTGTGCTCCTTGATGGGCAGCCGCCGCACGTCGCAGCCGCGCAACGCCGCGGCGTGCAGCGTCGCGCGTTTGGCGACCGTGCGGTCCACGAGCGCGCCGACGACGTAGGTGCAGCCGTCCTCGAGGCCCTCGAGGGGCTCGTCGGCGTCGGGCGTGAGGTAGACGACGCGGCGCGGCCGCGCGTCGCGCCGCTGCCACGTGGACCGCGCGTCGCGGACGACGGGCCACTCGCCGGCGCCGACGTTCGCCAACGCCTCGGCGGCCTCGCCCTCGTAGCCCGCGAGCGTGAGCACGAGGGGCCGCAGCGACTTGCGCGCGTGGCCCGTCGCGTCCGCGAGCTGGCGGCAGATGCTCCGCCGGCCGCGGCCGTCGTGGTGGCTCGCGAACCAGCCGAGGTCGACCTCGAGCTCCGGCGCGGCGTCGCCGCCGCCGCGGTCGTGGCCGTCGACGGCCGCGCGGACCCGCGCGCGGCCCGCCTCCTCGGCGTCGCGCAGCGCGCGCGCGGCCATGACCGCCGCGGCCTCGCCGCCGCCGTAGCGCTCCGCGAGCGCCTCGCCCCGCCGCTTCGACCGGCCCCGCTCGCCCAGGCGCCGGTCGCGCTTCTCCCCGCGCAGCGCCTGCGACGCCGCCAGCAGCCGCCGCCGGCGCGTGCGCTTTTGCTGCTCGTCCTCCGCCTTCTCGTCGGCAGCGGCGAAATACCAGAACGCGGCGGCGAGGGCCAGCGCGGCGGCGCCGGCGATGGCGACGGTCTTGCTCATCGTGCGATGCGACGCGCGTCGCTCTTTTATGGACGACGACGATCACAGCAGCGAGAACGAGGACACACCAAACCCGAGCTAGCGGAAGCGCATAACTCGCCGTCAAAAGGCAACGCGTGTGCAACACGTTCTAGGCTAGGAGAGGTTAACAGCTAGAGGGCCTACCCGGGGGGTTTGCGGCACCAGGCCTTGCGGCACTGGGACTCCAAGCCTAGCCGCGGCTGAACACGAGCAGCCGGGCTGGCGTTCAATCTGCCGTCGACAGCAGCCCTGCAGTCGATCGGCGCCACTCGACGACGTTCCTGCCGCGGGGCAGCCTCGAGCACCGCCACTCGACGACGTTCCTGCCGCGGGGCAGCCTCGACTCGACAAAATGTTCACGGAGGACGACGAGTACAGCGAGAACGAGGACGCGCCGCCGCTGACGAGCCCGCCGCCGCCGCCGCCGCCGCCGCCGCCCCAGAAGACCTACGCGGCGTTCAACTACCCGCCGCCGCCGGCCGTGGAGCCGCCGGCGTCGCGCCCAAGCGTCAAGCCCGTCCCGATGGGCGACGAGGCGCACCCCGGCGCGTCGCGGTCGCTCGGCGCCGCGCGGCGCTGCGTCGAGCACTTCATGGGCGACGGCGACGCGGAGCTCGAGGCCGCGCTCGCGGCGCACCCGACGCGGCGCGGCCGCGGCGGCCGCGCGCTCGACGAGACGACGCTCCAGCAGCTGCGCGCCATCTTCGCGGCCAACGACGCCGACGGCGCCGAGGCCCTCGACGAGGCCCAGCTCAAGGGCGCCATCGAGATGCTCGGGCTCAAGGCGTCGACGGCGCTCGTCTCCAAGTTCTTCGCGCGCCGCGAGGACGACCTCAGCGAGACCATCAGCCTCCCCGAGTTCGTCCTCGCCGCCGCCGACGAGCTCGACGCCGCCCAGTCCATCGAGCCCGAGATGCTCCAGCTCTTCCAGCTCTTCGACGAGCCGGGCACGGGCGCCGTCGACGTCGCGACGCTCCGCCACCTCCTCTGCGACTTCACGTCCCCCGAGCGCCTCACGAAGGAGGAGTTCGACGACTTCGCCGAGTGCGCGGGGCTGAGCGGCGGCGAGGACGTCAAGTTCGACTACAAGAAGTACGTCCACAACATGATGGTCGGCAAGCCCCTCGTCTCGATGCGCGTCTAGCTTAGGTCGTAGAGGAGGATGACCGCGGCGAGGTCGAGGCACGCGTGAACGACGGCGTCGAGGCGCAGCGAGAAGGCGCGCGGCGGGTCGAGCCACGCGTCGACGAGGAGCCGCGTAACCCAGACGGCGCCGAGCGCGCGCGCGACGTGCCGCGGCGCGACCGCGGGCCACGGGCTTCTGAGGAGCGGTCGCCGCGGCTCGTCGGTCGGTGGCGGCGCCGCGGGCCGCGCGTCGAATTCCGTCTCGTCCTCCTCCGGCGCCTCGAACTCGCTGCCTTTTTCGATGACGAAGCGGATTTCATCCCGCAAACGCGTGATCTCCGCGCCTGAGTCGAAGCCCTTCGACTTGAGCACGCGTAAAAGCCGGTCGAGGGGCTCGAGGGGCGCGGCGGGCGTCGGCGGCGACGGCGGCTCGCTCCGCGCGGCGGCGATGGCCGCCCGGGCCTTGTCCTCGCATTCGAAGAGCAGGTTCAGCAACGACGACGAAAGCGAGATTGCAAACGGGATCCCGGACAGCGCGTCGATGACGGGATGCGCCGCCGCGTCGCGCACGAGGTCCGCGGGCGCCACGCGCGGCGCGCGCGTGGCGCCGTAGGCGCGCCGCGAGAGCTCCGGCGACCGCTGGAGCAGGAGCTTCGCGGCGGGCGCGGGCTCGAGCGGCGACAGCTTCACGACGCGCTCCGTGACGGCGAGCACGTGGCCGAGCGGTCCGGACGACGTCGTTAAAATGATGTGCGCCTTGGAAGCGGTGGACAGCAAATCCGCCAGCAGCTTCTGGCACTGGGCCCGCACCAGGAGCTCGTGGCGCGGCATCGCGAGCAGGAGCCGCTCGAAGTCGTCGACGACGATGAGCACCTTGCGCTCCCGCAGCGACGACAGCAGGCCCGGGTCATCGACGACCGACGCCAGCGACGACCGCCGGTCGAGCAGGGAACTCCTGTCGTCGTCGTCGTGGCCGTAGCGCGACGAGTTCCGCCGGAGCAGCCGCGGCGTGCCGAAGGGTTCGTCGAGGTCGCCCAGGATCGCCGTCGCGGCCTCCAAAACGTCGTCGAAGAGCGTGTCGCGGCTTCGCGCCTTCAGCCAGCACACGGCCTCGAAGTGGTTCCGGCCCGCGACGTACTGGGCGGCCGCGGCGGCGAGGGCCGACTTGCCGGACCCGAAGGCGCCCGTGATCGTCGTGAGGCGGTGGCGGAGCAGCGAATCCACGCACCCGGCGAGGTCCGACGTCCGGCCGATGTACCACGTCGGCGCCGGCGGCGCGTTCGAAGGCGTCCGCGGCGTCGTCGTGACCAGCAACCCGCCCCGCGGCGCGTTTTCGCAGAAGACGCGCTCGTCGTGCGCTTCGCCCTCGGGAAGGAGCACGAAGATCGGCGGCGTCGCGCCGTTGCTCGCCGCCGCGCAGCCAATATCGAACGCCTGCTTCACCGTGCGCCCCGCGATGATGCCCAGGTAAAAGGCCTTGCAGAAGCTCGTCGCCGCGCGGTCCGACACGCGGCCCGCGTTCTGCGCCGCTGAAACGGCGACGACGTGCGGCACGCCCGCGCCGACGAAGGCGCGGCCCGCGGCCTCGCTGTGGCAAGAGTTCACGACGACGAGCCGCACGCCGTGGCCGCCCGCGGAGACGAGCGCTCGCAGGGCCTCCGGGCTGAGCGCGACCGCGGCGCCTCTGCCGTCCTCGAAGCAGAGGAAATCGGGGTGGCCGTGGCCGGCAAAGTGCAGAATCTTCGCGCCCAGGGTCATGCTCGATCGCAGCGCGTCGACCGTAGCATAACGCATCTGCAGCTCCACCTCCAGGCCCGTGTCCTCGGAGCCTTCGCGCAGCGCTTCCTGCAGGTTCGTCGCCTCACTCTCTGTGTCGATGATGGGCAGCTCCACGAGCCGGCCCTCGACGCCGCGCTGCGCCGCCAGCGGATTCGACAGCAGACATACGACTCGATTCACTGCCGGCATTTTTGGGGGCAGCTAGTCTGGGCCCATATGACAAAACGCGGCTTTATATAAAACATCAAGTTGACGTTCAACGCTCGCCGCTGCACATTCGAAATTGCCACAGGCGCTCAAGCTCGTGGAGCGCCTGCTTGGGCAGCGTCTGCAGCAAGCCCGCGACGACCAGCTCGCGCACGCAGGCAGCCTCTGCGGCGCGCCCCGGCAGCCTTTGCAGCGCCCGCGCAGCCGCAACCAACAACCATGTCGCTCATGGGCCCCGGCGCGATGACGGAGTACGAGGCGCCGAGCCGGGGCCGGCGCGCGCGGGGCACGGTCTACGTCGACGACCCCGCCGTGGGCTTCTTCGTCGCCGGGTCGTCGCTCAGGGACATGAACGGCATCTACACGCGCAAGGACTGCGCCGTGCCGGGCTTTCGCGTGGCCATGTCCTACGCGCACAGCGGGAAGAACGGCTGGTGCATGGCGCTCTGCGCGGAGCAGCGCGAGCGCAAGCCCAAGCCGACGGCCGTCGCGAAGCGGAAGCCGCCCAAGATCCCCGGCGGCGACGACAGCGACTGGGAGACCGAGGAGTCGGAGGAGGAGCTGTCGCCCGAGGAGGAGGAGGACGACGACGACGACGACGCGGCCTACCTCTGGCGGCTCGTCGATCCGACGTTCCGTTCGCGGTTCACGCACAAGGGCGACACGTTGATTCCCGGCGCGGGCACGCGGTGGACGGCCGTCGGCGATGCCGGCGCCGTCGGGAGTGGCGAGTGCTTCGGCGGCGGCGACCAGATGGTCGAGGGCCGGAGCGAGGAGGAGGTCGAGGACGAGCTGCCCTGGCAGATCATCGCGCTGCTGGACGCGGGCATCACGCGCGACCTGCTGCGGTCCGCGGCGTGGCGCGAGCACAAGATCCGCGTCGCAGCCAGCGGCGAGGAGCTGCCGACGCTGCCCGCGCGGTCGCTCGAGGCGCTCCTCGGCGGCCGGACCTACGGCGCGGGCGCGGACGCGGCGCTCGTCGAGGAGTGCTGGCTCTACACGGCCGTCGCCGGCTGCGCGCTCCGCCCCGCCGTCGGCTCGCGCCGCCGCGTCGGCGCGGTGAACGCGGGCGACTATTTGCGGGTCGTCGAGCGCCGGAGCGACGGCGGCGGGGACCTCTGGCTCAAGGTCGACGACGGCGACGGCGACGTGGCGTGGCTGCCCGCGGCCGACGCGGCGCCGGTGCCCGCGGGCGACGTCGCGTCCGCGGCGCCGCCCGAGGAGCCGGACCCGGAGATCGAGGCCGCCTTCGACCGGCCCTTCGAGGCGCGCCTCGAGGGTGACGAGGAGACGACGGTCGTCGAGGCGGAGGAGGAAGACGACGACGACGCGGAGGCGGACGCGCCGCGCGAAGAGGCGCCGGTCGTGGCCCAGCGCGCGCGGGACCTGAACGTCGGCGACCGCTGCGTGCTCCACTCGCTCCTGGGAAGCGGCTTCGGCCTCGAGGGCTCCGTGGGCACGGTCGTGAAGGCGCGGTCCGCCGACGGCCGCTACGAGATCGCCGTCGACGGCGCCGAGGGCGCGAAGCGGCGCGTCGTCTCCGTCAAGGCGCGGAACGTCCACTCCGTCGACGCCGTCGCCGACGGCGAGCCGTCCGCCGAGGCCGTGCTCCTGGGCGTCGACCCGCGGGACCTCGTGCCCTCCAAGGGCTGCGTCGTCGACTTCGCGGCGCGCGCGTCGGAGCGCGACGCCGCCTTCGACGCGCGCCTCGAGTCGGACCCGGCCGGCGACGACGCGGACAAGATCCAGTTCGCGCGCGAGCGCCTGCTGGAGGCCTACGGCGGCGAGACGGGCATGCACGCGACGCTGCCCGCCGCCGTCCTCGACGCGTCGCCGCTGGATTTGGTCGCCGGCGGCTGCTGCGGCGTCCGCGCGGCCGACGCGGCGACGCGCGGCGCCGCGGACGACAGCGTCGACGAGGCCTTCCGGGGCTGCCGCACGCTCCAGCAGGTCATCGCCGACGAGGCCGCTAGATTGACGGGTCTAGCGGCGCTCGAGGAGGACGACGACGCGGTCCTGCGCTGCGCGCTGGCGAGCTTGTACGGCCGGGTCCGCCGCTACCCCGCGGCGCTCGCCGAGGCGCGGCGCGCCGTCGCGGGCGACGGCTCGTCGGCCGCGGCGCTCGCGACGCTCGGGCTCTTGGAACTCCAGACCTCCCAGTCCCGCGCGCGCGCGCTCGCCACGCTGAAGAAGGCGACGACGGCGGGCGCGGCCGCGGGCGCGGCGGGCGGCTGGGGCGCGAGGACGGCGGCCGCGGCGCTCCGCCGGTGCACGCGGTCCGCGAACTTCAAGACGAAAGGCGACGACGCCTACGCGCGCGGCGACTTCGGCGCGGCCGTGGACCGCTACACGGACGCCGTCGAGGCCGCGGCGGCGGAGGATCCGACGTTCCGCGCGGTCTGCCTGAGCAACCGCGCGGCCTGCAGGCGCCGGAAGCGCGACCTCGAGGGCGCGCTCGCGGACGTCGACGCGGCGCTCGCTTTATTCCCGACGTACGCGCGCGCGCGGTTCCGCCGCGCCTGCACGCTTTTAGAGCTGGACCGCCCGGCGGTGGACGCCTTCGTCGACGTCTACCGCCACGACCGCGACTGGCCGGACCTCTGCGACTGGCTCGTGCGCGCCGAGGCGCGCGAGCGGCGCCGCAAGGCGCCCTTTTACGAAAAAGACGACGCGGCGGCGTCGCCGAAAGCGCCGCCGCGCGCGGCGACGGACGACGAGATCCTCGACGAGACGAAGCACGTGGACCTCTACACGGTGCTCGGCGTGTCGGCGGACGCGACGGAGGCGATCCTCAAGCGCGCCTACCGCCTCCGGTCGCTCAAGTACCACCCGGACAAGAAGGGCGGCTCGACCTTCGCGTTCCAGCGCGTCCGCGAGGCCTTCGACACGCTGAGCGACCCGGAGAAGCGGCGCGCGTACGACCTCGGCGAGGACATCAAGAAGCCCGCGAAGGGCGGCGACTCCGAGAGCGAGTACAGCGACGAGGAGAAGCCGTCGCTCCGCGAGGAGATCGAGCGCAAGTACTACCCCGAGCGCTACGAGTTCTACCCCTTCGGCGACCCGTTCACGGCGAAGCGGAAGATGCGCGCGAAGCGCGAGCGCATGAAAAGTCGCAAGCCCGCGCCGGCCTGGTACGAGACCTACTGAGGCTCCCGTCCGCCCTTTTTTGTGTCGCCCGCCCGATCGAGAGGTCCTAATACACTCGGTTTTTAAACGCGGCTCACCACTTTTTGTGCTTCCCCTCCTTGCTCCAGTCGTCGAGGAACGCGAAGCTCTGCGTCGACGCGACGCTCTCGTCGTCGAGCACCTCCTCGGCGTCGGCGTCGGCGTCGACGGTGTGCTTCCGCGGCTCGAAGGTGCCGTCGGGTTTGCGGATCGGCGGCGGGTCCTCGTCCGCGATGCCGGTCGTGTCGTTGACCCAGAACGTGCAGCCGGCCTGCGTGACCTCGATCCAGTTGCCCTGCTGCTCGAGGGACTTCTTGTCGGCGCGCCGCGACCGCCGCGTGCGCCGCTTCGGCTCCGCGGGCGGCGCCTCCTTGTGCTCGAGGACCTCCATCGTGTTGCTCGACCGCGGCGCCTGCGCGTCGCGCGCGGTCTTCCGCACGGCCGTGTCCCGCCGGATGCCGCCGGCGGGCTTCGAATACTGGTGCTTGTGCTTCCGCGCGCCGAAGTGGCGGTGGCGCTCGTCGTCGCTCATGTCCCGCATGCGGATGCGCTGGGCCTGCTTGCGCGTCATGTAGAACGTCGGCGGGTAGAGGTCCGCGGGCGTCGCGTGGAGCTTCGTGACGTGCTCGTCCGTCTCCTCGTGGATGAACTGGCGCCGCGACCAGTACGTGACGAGGGACATGGCGGCCGCCGCTCCCCCGGGGGCTGCCCCAGCGCTGAAGCAGCCTCGATTTGAGGAGCAACACGATGATGTTATCGGCAGCGCTGCCCCGATCCTCGGACCGACGGTGGGTGCCACGATGGCGCAGCCGCGTCGGAGAGCGTTGCTGGCCCTCGTCGCCTGGCGCGTCTGCGCGGCGCCGCCGGCGTGCGAGGCGCCGCTCCTCGAGGTCGTCGCCGACGCCGACGTCGCGGCGCTCTACGCCGGGAACGGGCCCGTCGCCATCCGGGGCCGCGCGAACCTGCCGTCGGCGACGAGCGCGCTGCTGCCCGAGTTCGTGTCGCCGCCGGCCGACGGCGCCTTCCCGCTCGCCGTGCGCGCCGGCGCGGGGTACCGCAACGCGACGGCCTGGGGCGCGGCCGCGCGGCCGTTCCTCGACGCGCGGCTCTCCGGCGCGGGCGCGGTGCTCTTCCGGGGCCTCAACTTCAGCCGGCCGGAGGAGTTCGCGGCGTTCACGGACGGCCTGGGCTGGGAGCGCGTGAGCATCGGCGGCGGCGGCACGGCGCGCACGGCCGTCGGCGGCGTCCGCACCGCGTCCGACGAGCCCGCGGAGCATACGATCGAGCCGCACCAGGACATGGCCCACAACCCCGCGCACCCGTCGAAGATCGCCTTCTTCATGGTCGAGGGCCCGCCCCGGGGGAAGGGCGGCGAGACCATCCTCGTGGACATGCGCGCGGTCACGCGGCGCGCGGCGGCGCGGGGCCTCGACGCGGCGTTCGCGGCGAAAGGCGGCGTCCGCTACGCGAAGAAGCTCTGGTCCGACGAGCTCGTCGACCCGGCGGTCAACACCTTCAACTGGCAGCGGCGCTACTTCACGCGCGACCGGGCCGCCGTCGACGCCGCGCTCGACGCGCTGCCCGGCGACGACGTGACCTGGTCCTGGTCCCCGGACGGCACGCTCGACTACGAGAACACGCTGCCCGCGACGCGGCCCCACCCGGCCACGGGCGAGCCCGTCTGGTTCAACGGCATCCACACGAACCACCGCGACTACTTCGACCTCGCGCCCCACATCGACACGACCCACGGGAGCCCCTACGACACGACCTACGGCGACGGCGACGCGATCGACGACGCGACGCTCGCGGAGATCCGCGCGGACATCTGGAACTCGTGCGTCGCGGTGGCCCTCGAGACGGGCGACGTCGTCGTCGTCGACAACTTCCTCGCGGGCCACGGCCGCATCGGCTGGGACCCCGCGGTGCGGCGCAAGATGCTCCTCCAGCACTTCGCGTAGGTTTATTGAGGTAAGGTTGAAGCCGATCAACCCGCTTGATCGCGGGGCTGCTGCTCGAGCATTATTGGCTTCGAGCAGTTCGAGCATTGTCGCGCGCGAATCCGCGGCGAGACCATGCGCAACAAGATCCTCCTGGCGCTCCTCGCGTCATCGGCGGCGGCGACGTGCACGACGACCGTGAAGGTGGGGACGTTTGACGAAGCGAATCCCTACACCATCGCCCCGATGACCCAGTGGCTCGACGACGACGACGTGTGCTTCGTGTTCTACCGCGAGACCTCCGGCGGCCGCTCCATCCAGCACCTCGAGGCCGGCGACCTCGACATGGCCATGCTCGGGTCGACGCCGTACGCGACGGCGGCCGCGCGGCGCGCGGGCGTGTCCGCGGTGTCGATCCTCCACTTCAAGGGCGCGGCGCAGGCCCTCGTCACGCGGCCGGACCTGACCGCGCCCCAGGACCTCGCGGGGACCGTCCTCTGGACGCCCTACACGTCCACGACCCACTACATCCTCCTCGCGGGCCTCGCGCAGGCGGGCTTCGACGTCGACGAGGTCGCGCTGGTCACCGCGTCGCCGGCGGCGATCATCGAGGCCTGGGATAACGGCGAAATAGACGGCGCGGCGTGCTGGGGCAACACGATGCAGCACCTGCTGGACAACGAGTGGGGCGGCGAGAGCGGCCAGCTCGGGCGCGCGATGATCGACGCCGCGACCGTCGCGCAGTGGGACTTCGAGACGGGCAACGTCCTCGGCGTCTCCGACGCCTTCCTCGCGGCCCACGGCGAGGACGGCGGCCTCGTGGAGCGCGTCGTCGACGCCTTCGCGCGGGCGAACTACGACTACGTCCGGGCCTACCAGCAGGACGGCTGGGCCGCGGCGGGCAACTACACGGAGCTCGTCGACCACTTCGTCTACCTGAGCGACTCGACGGGCACGGAGCCCCACGACTGGGACGAGCGCCACGACGACGTCTACGACCGCATCTTCAAGTTCGAGTACCCGACGATCGCGGAGCAGCTCGACTTCGACATCGCGGCGATGACCCAGAAGCAGGCGGCCTTCCTCTACCTCCAGAAGGCGCTCGCGTCGGATCCCACGGCCGACAGCGCCGCCTACTACGACTCGACCTTCGACGCGAGCATCCTCGAGGACCTCGACGCCGAGTCCAACGAGGCCGTCGCGCTCGACGAGACGGGCGCGGCATCGCGCGGCTGGCCCGCGCCCGTCGACGCCGCGAACGTGCCCCCGCCGGAGCAGTACCCGTCGAGCGCGGACCCCGGCTGCGCGACCTTCACGTCGCTCAGCGTCTCGTCGTCGGCGACCTTCGACGACGGGTCCTCGTCGACGAACGCGTACGCGCTGGACGCGACGTGCGTCTGGGCCGTCAAGCCCGACGCCTGCGCGGCGGTCTCCCTGAACCGCCTCGCGTCCGAGGCGCCCTTCGACGCGCTCGAGGTCTTCGCCGCGAACGGCGATCTCTTGGCCCGGTACATGGGCCGCCACCTCGAGGGCTCGGAGCACCCGGCGGTCACGGGCTGCTACGACGCGTCGGTCTCCGACCCGCGGTCCGTCGCCGCGGCGCTCGCGGGCGTCGACGACGCGTCGAGCCTCGCGGCCGACGCCGACGAGGCCGTCGCCCTCTACGTGCGCTGGAGCACGGACGGCTACGACGAGCACGCCGTCGGCGCCCTGGGCTCCGTCGGCTTCGAGGCCGTCGCGGCGGACATCTCGGCCTGCTCCTGCGGCGCCAACGGCGCCAAGCAGACCGACGTCGACGGGAACTGCTACTGCGCCTGCGACCCGGGCTACTCGGGCGCGTCCTGCGACCACGCGTACTGCATGGGCGTCCTCGACGTCGACGACGGCTCGGGGACGCTCCGGTCCCAGCCGTCGACGAGCGACCGCTACGCGCCGCGGTCGACCTGCGGCTGGCGCATCTCGTCCGCCGCCTACTCCCACGTGTCCCTCGACTTCACCTTCCTCGGCCTCGAGCGCGGCTTCGACTTCGTCAAGGTCTACGAGGGCTCCGGCCTGCCCCCGGGCTACGGCGCGTCCTCGACGGTCGGCGCGGACGACTACGTCTACGCGCTCACGGGCGACGACGTGCCCGACCACCCCATCATCGTCGCGGGCGACGCGTTCCTCGTCTTCGAGAGCGACGGGTTGACGAACGCGATCGTCGACGGCGATTCGCTGGGGACCGGCGGCTTCGAGGTCGCCTACGAGGCCTTCGACCGGACGTCGTGCTCGGACGCCGGCTCCGCGTCCGCGGGCTGCCTCGGCCGCGGCACCTGCGCGGCCGACCTGAGCTGCGACTGCGATCTCGGGTACTACGGCTACAGCTGCGGCTTCGACCACTGCGTCGGCGACACGCACCTCGGGTCCGTGACTTCCGGCGAGATCCTGTCGGGCCACGTCGACGACTACCCGTCGTCGACGACGTGCCTCTGGGCCTTCCAGGTGCCGACGTCCCTCGGCGACGCGAGCCTCGCGGGCCTGAGCCTCGTCTTCGCGACCTTCGACCTCGAGTGGGGCGAGGTCAGCGGCTCGGCGACGTCGGACCGCGTCGCCGTCTACCTCGTCGAGGACTACGCGTCGCCGGACGTCGACGCGGGCCTCAAGGTCAAGGAGTACACGCGCGCGGACCTCGAGGACGGCGTCTTCTCGCTCGACGCGCAAAACGACATCACACTGACGACCGACGACATGGCCCCGTACTACGACGGCGACGCGCTCAACGTCGTCGTCGCCTTCGTCGCGGACAAGAACAACCCGGACCCCTACGGCGGCTTCGACGCGCACTTCGCGGGCTACTGGGAGGTCTCCGGCGACGCCGTGACGTACTGCGATTCCGGCGCCTCGGGCTACTGGGACTGCGGCGACGGCCAGGTCTGCGGCGGGAACGGCTACTGCGTGGCGTCGTCGAGCAGCTCGAAGAAGGCCGGGGACCCGACGGGCCTCATCGTCGGCATCGTCTTCGGATTGGTCGGCGCGTTCGCGCTCGTCTTCTACGCCTACCGGCGGAAGAAGATCCAGAAGAGCCGCGCGCAGAAGGCCGTCATCGCCAAGGTCACGGAGGAGCTGCAGAACTTCAAGGACAGCGTCATCGGCATGCGGTCCGTGTCGCGGCCCTTCAGCCCGGACACGGCCGCGTCGGACGTCGCCATCGACGTCGTCGACGACCCGGGCGTCGAGCTCCTGCCCGCGGGGCCGGCGCGGTGGTACTGGGAGGAGTCGCCCCAGCGCATCCAGAACCACGCCAACGTCAAGCCCCCCTTCTGGGTGCCCTACGACGCGTCGGACGCGAAGCGGCTCGAGGCCGCGTACGCGGCCAGGAAGAAGGAGCTCTGGATGAACGACGTCTACGTCGTCGACTTCCGGGCGATGACGCAGACGAACACGCGGTCCGGCTTCGGCCGCAACGTGCTCCGCGACCAGCCGAAGCGGCAGCCCGCGAAGCAGCGGAGCTCGCGCGACGTCGCCGTGTCCGCCGCGGAGCGGCCCGGCGACATCGCCTGCGACGAGCCCTGCCTCATCCTCGAGGAGGGCGCCGTCATCCAGATCGCCAAGCAGCGCGACGACGGCTGGGCCTACGGGTCCATCGTCCTCGGCGGCAAGAAGCACCACGCGCCGGGGAGCCTCCCGAGCGACTGGAGCCTCGACAGCGGCTGGTTCCCCATGGCCCGCACGGACCCGCCGAGCTCCGAGCAGCTCGCGGAACTCCAGGACGCGCTGGGCGGCGGCGGCGCCGACGCCCTGGCGCCGCCCAGGTACTGGGACCAGGTCAAGGACCCGCTCGTCGCCGAGTACTTCAAGCTCGACCCCAAGTCCGACGAGTACAAGCGCGCGGCCGGCGCGTTCCTCCTCGAGGACGACCTCCGCAAGAAGTGCACGATCCAGTCCATCGAGCGCGTCCAGAACATCTCGCTCTGGCAGTCCTACTGCGTCAGGAAGTCCGCGACGGTGTCGCGCGAGGGCTCCGAGAACCTGGCCGAGGCGACGCGCAAGTACGTCCGCTGCTGGCTCTTCCACGGCGCGCCGGGCGACGTCGTCGCCAAGATCCTCCAGCAGGGCTTCAACCGCTCCTTCTGCGGCAAGAACGCGACCTTCTTCGGCAAGGGCGTCTACTTCGCGCGCGACGCGTCCTACTCCGCGTACCCGCTCTACTGCCGGCCCGACGACAACGGCGTCCAGTCCATCTTCCTCTGCCGCGTCGTCATCGGCCAGTACTGCCAGGGCCGCAAGGACGCCCTCACGCCGGACATCCGCGACGACTCGCGCAACCTCCTCTTCGACTCGACGGTCAACCACGTCGTCAACCCGGAGATCTTCGTCACGTACCACGACGCGCAGGCCTACCCGGAGTACCTCATCAAGTTCAAGCAGTCGGGCCCCGTCGGCGGCCACCCGCAGACCGGCAACCGCCAGCACCCGCGCTACAAGAACTGGGTCACCGAGCTCGAGGAGGCCCGCTAGGCGCGCGCGCAATTCGCCGAACATCCGCCCGCGACGCCCCGAACCACGCCGTAAGCGCCCTTGTGTTATCACGCGAGGGCCATGACCTTCTCGGAGCACCAGCCGTCGATGGGCGAGACGACGTGGAGCCTCCGCGTCCCGTCGGGCAGGAGCACGTCCTCGGACACCATGCAGATCGTGTCGTAGTCGAGGTTCGGCTTGACCCGCGCGGAGTCGAGGTCCGCGGTCTTGCGCAGCAGCGCGCCCTTTTTGCCCGCGACCTTGAACTGGCGCGGGTACGCGTCGGCCCCGCGCTTCTTCGCGGGCGCCGCGGCGGACGCCGGCGTCACGTCCTCGAGGAGCGTCCCAAAGCCGAGCGCCGTGCCGTCGATGAGCGCCCACGCGTCCCGCGCGCCCTCCTCGCAGCGGATCCAGCCGTCGCGGACCTCGACGGCCGACAGCGTCTCGCCCGCGCGCCGCGTGCAGACCATGGGCGCCGTCGCGTCGGGCGTGGCGCGCATGACGATCCTCGGCTTGTGCACGACTTTGAAGAAGCGGACCTTGGACAGCGAGGTCCGCTCGATGGCGTCGAAGATCACGTCGAGGTCCTCGCGGCTCTCCTCGCCCGCCTTCTGGAAGAGCTGCGTCGAGAACTGCTTGATGCGGCCGAGGAGCTCGCCGCCCTGCTCGCCCGGGTGCTTGCGCTTCAGGCGCTCGACGTACTTGTCGAGCTCGCGGTTGTCCTCCGCCGGGTAGACAACGAAATGCGTCTCCCAGAGGTCGTTCAATTGCATTTTCAGGTTCCGTATGTCCTGGAACGAGGCCATGGCGAGCGCGCGCGTGCGCCGACGCGGTCTGCAGCTTCGGGCTGCCTCGGGCTGCGCTTCGACGTCGTCCACCAGCCAGTCCGCCGAAGACGACTTGTGACAAGCAAATAAATCGTCTTCAACTTGAGCAACTTGAAGGACCCGAGAACAATCTCCTTTACGCGCGTCCCCGCCTCAGCTGCGCTTGATGGGCGCGTTCGCCGGGCGGAGGACGTTGGGCCGCATGAAGAGGGACTGGGCGAAGAGCCAGGGCCAGAGGTCGGAGCCCTGCTTGTAGGCCGGCGTCCACGCGTTGTGGTGGGTCATGTAGGCGACGTGGGCCGGCGACGGCGGCGTCTCCTCGTCCGTGAGCTTCTTGAAGCGCACGGGCGCGTGGAGCTTGTCGAGCGCCGCGACGAGGGCCTCGGTCTCGCTGCAGGGCACGGCCGAGTCGGACGCGCTGTGCCAGAACCAGGACGGCGTGCCGCGGAGCAGCGCGGCGTAGACGATGTTGCCGCCGCCGCAGATGGGCGCGACGCTGGCGAAGGGCGGGAACTTCTTGCGGTCCTCGGAGTCGCCCGCGTGCTTCTGGGCCAGGCGGCACGCGAGCGTGAACGTGCCCAAACCGCCGCACGACGCGCCCGTGCAGAAGACGCGGTACTCGTCGATGGTCTTCAACCCGCCCTCGTTCTTCCGCGACGCCGCCAGGAACGTCTCCAGGATCTTCATCGTCCGCGCGAACTGCGCGGCCGTCTTGCACCACTCCTGCCGCGCGCCGAGCAGCGGCGACACGACGACGCAGCCGCTGCCGCGCGCGAGCATGCGGTGCATCTTCTCGTCCTCGACGGCCTGCTCCGCGGCGTCGTGGGCCTCCTGCGCCGCCGCGATGGCCGCCGCGTTCTCGCCGCGCTTCGCCTCGCGGAGCGCGCCGCGCTTTTCTTTGACCTTCGCGGAGAGCTTCTCCGCCGCGTCCTTGTCGACGGTCGCGTCGAACTTCAGCTCGCCGTCGGCGAGGAGCTGCGGCACGCACCCGGGGCCCTTGGCGAGGATCTGCGTGATATCCGTGCCCCGGGGCGACGCGCCGTGGAGGTAGACGAGCAGAGGCCGGTACTCCTTGTCGCTCTCCGGCGTCCAGACGAGCAGCTCCTCGCCGCTCGCCAGCGCGTAGTGCGCGTGGCCCCGCACGTCGCCGACGTAGCGCAGCAGCGGCGCCTCGTCGACCTGGTCGGCCACCGACGACGTCTCCTGGGCAGCCATGGCGTCCACGAGAATGGACGGCCCTTCAATGAAGCCTTCACCCGCCGGGCTAAAAACTAAAAAAAGCAACTGGACTGATTCCTCGAAAGCAACTCAAACAATCAGGCTGCGAGCAGCCCTTTTGCAGCGTCGATGGACGAAATTCTCGTCTTCTCCAGCCCGTAGCTCGACGCAGATGCAGAGTTGCGCAACGATCCCCGCGGCTGCGAGGACCGGAACCCTGTTGCGGACACATTCCCCGCGGGATGTCACTCCCGAGGATTGCGCCGCATCGCGCGCGGGGCGTCCCAAGGGGTCGGAAGAGGGTTTTCGGCGTCCCCCGCACCCTTTTCGACCGTGTTCGAGCGCACGGAGCGTCGGGAATCGTTCGTCTATGTACCGCGGGCGTCCCATTTGATCCGCTCGGCCATCGACGTCGAAAACATCGACCGCCAACGCGCGCATAGAAACGTGGCGCGGCAGCCCAACCGGCCCCCACGTCCAGAAACGCGGTCTGGGCCGACACCACCGCCCGAGCCCCGTCCCCAGTATGTGTCCGGTGGGATCGAGTACATCTCCTACTGCGGAGGGCCACCCCACGGTGCCGATCTCGGCCGTTTCGTCGTCCCCATGGAGGCCCGGAACGCCGACTTCACGGCGTCGGCCGCTGCAGTAGGTGATGTGCTGAATCCGCCTCAATGGCCCAAAGAACCCGTCCCACGCAATCACCTACTGCAGAGAGACACCTTCACCACTGCGGACTCGGCCACGCTCGGAGCGCGTCCATCGCGTGTAATTGCTTCAATAATCGCAACGATGCAGCTCCTGAGCGGTTGCTTTTGTTATTTTCTAGCCCGGCGGGTCAGCCCGCAGCATTGCCTAATCTCATTGCCTAGGTTACGCCGTAGCCCATGGCGCGCCGCAGCGGGCCGTAGGTCGCCGCGAACCAGGCGTCGCCGAGGAGGTGGGCGCGGAGCCCGTCCCGGACGTGCCGCTGCGAGCCGTCGAACGCGTGGTTCGACGCGCGGCGCGCGAGGTCGTGGCGCGCGGCGGCGTCGAGGCACGCGGCGAGCGCGGGACCGCCGACGCCGAGCCAGCGGAAGATGGACGCGAACGTCGCGTTGAACGACGCCATGGCCGCGTCCAGGTCCTGGAGGCGCGCGCCGCGGGCCGGCGCGAGCGCGGCGTGGGTCGCGTTGAGCGCCCGGGCCGTCGGCAGCGACCGGACGGCCTCCGCGAGGGCGCCGTCGTCCGCCGAGAGCGATCTCAGGAGCGCCTGGTAGCTCGCGAGGCCGCCCCAGCTCGCGTTGCGGACGGCGCCGCAGAAGGGCAGCGCGCTCGCGCGGCAAAAGGACCAGACGGGCGCGGACGTGGCCGGGCCGATCGCGAGCTGCTCGCGCGCCGTCCGGTGGTAGAAGTACGCCGAGAGCACCACGGACAGCGGGTCGCGGATCCACGCGACGGCGCGCGCCCGCAGGCCGAGGTGCCTGCGGTACGCGCGCGCGTCGCCGAGCCACGTCCGCGTCGAATCGATCGCAAAGTTCTGGAAGAAGAGCACGCGGTAGCCGGCCCTCGCCGCGGCCGCGACGCCGGTCCGCGTGGGCCCGCCGAGCAGCTGCATCCTCGCGCCGGCGGAGCGGCGCGCGAGGTCGGCGAGGATGGCCTGGTTGAGCACGGTGCCCGTCTTGTGGAACGACCCCACGAGCCAGAGCGCGTCCGGCGCCGGCGCGCACTCGCCGGCGCCGACGGCCGGCAGCTTCTTCGGCGCGCGCCGGCGCTGCGTGAGCGCCAGCCTTGCGAGCGTGTCGAGGCTGCTCGACGCCGCCGCGAAGGCGAGCAGCAGCGCGACTTTGCTCATGGGGGCTGCGCCATAGCGCGCGCTTCACGCAAATCTGATTGCACATTAATTGCACATTCGAACGATGAGGTTGCTCGCTATGGCAGCCCTCGCCGTCGCGCGGGCCGAGGTCGAAGTCCTCACGGAGGCGACCTTCGCGCCGACGACGGCCGCGGCGCTCCGCGGCGGCCGGCGCTGCTTCGTGAAGTTCTACGCCCCCTGGTGCGGCCACTGCAAGAAGCTGGAGCCCCTCTGGGCCGACCTCGCCGCCCAGGCCGGCGCCGACGTGCTCGTCGCCAAGGTCGACGCGACGCAGCATCCGCGCCTCGCCAAGACCTACGGCGTCAAGGGCTACCCGACGCTCGTCTTCCTCGCGGGCCACCAGATGCAGACCTACAGGGGCGGCCGGAAGCTCGACGAGCTCGTCGCGTACGTCACCGAGGGCTACAAGAGCGGCGAGAACGCCCAGGCCGCGCCGACGCCGCCCGGCCCGCCGACGGCCCTCGACGAGCTCCTGGGCAAGTCGGCGCTCGGCAAGGACTTTCGCAACATCGTCAAGTTCGAGAAGGGCGCCGCGGGCGTCCTCTTCGGCCTCGGCGTCGCCGTCGGGCTCCTCGTCGCGGCCCTGGTCTCCTGCTGCTGCTGCCCTAGGCCGTCGAAGGTCAAGGGCGCCTAAGGGACGTCGCACGAAAGATTACGCCCGCGCCTTGTCGAGCGCGCGCCGGAGCTTGGACCGC